TTGATACCCAGGGGCAGCTAATAAATACTCCATCTTTGACTATTTTGCCCCAGCTGTATGTTGGTTCAATTTAAGAATCTTACCATAAGTATCAATTCAACACTGGTAACCTTTTAAAATGCTATTAAAGAATATAAGGTTCACCACAGTATTGATTAACAATGTTTGATTTTTCTAAATTCAGATGGTGAAACTTACTCTCTTGCACCACTGAAAGCTGCATCCCTGAGGTCAGGATTAAATTAGACTGTAGAGTTAGGGTGCCAAACATCATTATGTATGTTTAATCTTAAAGTTTTTCTATACTAATACCATGTAATCATTTAAGGAATCTCTGAAGTCCCCACATTTAATATAAAAAGGAAATCAGTACACCATCTGTTACTCACAAGTTCTTTGGCCTGCATTATTTCAATTTGGAAAAAAACAAACAGTAACATATGTAAAGAGGAAAATTTACAATGCAACAAAATTAAACTGTTATGAGGCAAAAGTTTATTTTTTTATTCTTCGCTTTGAAAGATTAAAACTGTGGTTAAATCTTTTTAATTCATTAGATTTTATTATACTGCTGTGCTCTAAGAGTACTTTAAAGGTATTGTGGAGGAATTTCAAAAACTTTTTAAAAGACCCGCACTGTCCACTAAAAAAAAAAATGCACGTGTGAGACCATGCATTAGCCCAATTCTCCTCGTGCACTCTGTTTAACAGTTGCTGTTTCCATTGCTCATACAAGCTTACTGTGCCCGAACATCCGCCCTAAATCCCTCAATCACTGTATAGAGCGGGGGCTATTGAGTGGACTTTATAGCAAACTCAGTTAACTTACCGTTCGGACAGATGATCACTGCTTATTGTTCCCTTAGGTATACTAACTCCTCCTCCACTGCCCGGTGCTTGTGCCATCTATGTTATTAGTCGCCTATGTCGGGTAGCGTTAACCTATGGCCAAAGCGTCCCGCTGTGACAGCAAATCCCATAATGCTTTCGAGGAGAGCTCTTTGTGCAAAGCATCTCGGGATATATCTGCCTCTTCTGAGGCCTTTCTTTTCTTCTCATACACTTTGTAGACACTTTTTCTCCCACGACCCTTGGACACTTTCAATGAACCGCGGTGAGAAAGGTGAGTTTCAATGACTGTCTGAAACCGTAGTTCACCACAGATATGCGACTGAAAGTGCACATGCACTTACGACAGCCTTACATAAAGATATCACCAGAATGATTGACAATCAGGAGGACCACTTATTTAGATGATCCAACCAGAAATAAAATAATGCCCTCTATACCTTTAAGAAATCATTTGAGATTTGTTAAGAATGAATAAAAAAAAAAAAATCTAAAATAGAAAGAAATTATCAAGAAATAAGACACTGGTGACATTTGATACTAGAAAGTTTTTTTTTTTTTTTGTTAAGCATATGATCAATTCATAAGGATATTGTGTTGTGCTAATGAAGAAGGGCTTAGTCCAAGACTAACACACTGACATTTGAGTCTTAGAAAAGGTGCTGCATTTAAACCTTAAATTAAAAACTCCAAAAAAATAATTTTTTACAAAAAGTAATGTATCTGAAAAAAAGAGAGAAAAGGAGTAAGGGGAAAAAATCTTTTGGAAGCACAAAATAGTGCAGTTGCGTCCTTAGTGCCTTCTCACTGGAGGTCATGGAGGTTCCCCTTCAAATATAGATTATGAAATTGGGCCTGTTCTCCAGTGTCTATCTCTGTTAGCCTCTTAGCCATAGCTATGGGCTCAGCTTTTACTGGGATTAATTCTATGCTCTGTCTTACATCCTTTTTTTTTTAACTTAACTGTTTCTTTCCTAGACAGAGCAACCTATGGATCTAGTTTACTGCTGCCTTTTCTAACATTGGAAGTATTTATGGGTCATTGCTTCCTTGTTCCTTTTGAATGCCTGCTTCTGTCCTTTTAAAAACAGAGTTGGCCTCAGCAGAAGGATGCTCACACAGAACCTAGTTCTGCTGGAGGTTTCTTCCAGTGAAAAGGGTGTTTCACCCACTGCCGCTGCATGCATGCTCGTTGTGAGAGTTGACAATCAACAATAAAATACGAGCAAAAAAATCTACTTTATACTCACCCAGGAGGAGTGAATTCTAGGATTTCTTTGGATAGAAGACTTTCAATTTCCCTATATAGCTTGATTGAATCGTCTCTGTGAAGTGGCTTTATGTGTTGTGTATTGTTGTCAAATAAGTCATTTGAATTACATTAAAATGTGATTATTTTTCAACAGAGGTGGGTAGAGTAGCCAACAATGGTACTTAGGTAAGAGTAGCACTATTTAATCATATTATTACTCAAGTAAAAATAAAAAAGTATCCTTTTAAAGAAATTAGTTAAAGGAATAGTATACCCAAAACATGATTAGCCTTCATTTTCTACTCACCCCCATGCTGAACAACACTCTGGAGTACATTTCATCAGACAAAAACCAGATGAAAGTGCGCATTCAGCTCGGCAAAGAACTCATCCTCTTCCTCAACACTGAAGTCCTCAGACATTTTTCTTTCGTTGTTTCTTTCTTTGCACAGGTAAACAGCACATTTCTTCTTCTACGCTTGCATTATCGGCAGAGCAGACGCTGAATGCGCACTTTCATCTGGTTTGGTCTGCCGCGGTTTCCGTAGACTCGTGAACGCGCTTTTAGGAAAGCCTATACACTACTGTTTATGCTCTAAAAACATTCTAAATGACTTCGTTTCGAGTAAATTATGGATGCTACCCACTCAGGACACTTGGAATACATTGGACGAGCAGTATGGAGGAATATTGACACGTTTTTTGTGGACTTTTCTGCCTCGGGCGCCATAGACCTCCATGATTTGAATGTCAGCAGACAGCAAGAAGCCTCCCAGATCTCCAGATGCATTTGAGATATCAAAAAAGTACTCCAGAGTGTTGTTCAGCATGGGGGTGAGTAGAAAATGAAGGCTAATCATGTTTTGGGTGTACTATTCCTTTAACTAAAAGCAAGCAGGCTAATCAAGATTAATAGTAATGGTATGTTGGAATAGTAAAAGTAAAAAGTACAATGCGGTAACAATACTACTAACAGTACTTTTTTAAGAGTACAAAGTACTCGAGTAACTAGTCAAAGTAATTAGTAAATAACTATCTCTGTTCTTGAAGCATATAAAGGTTTTTCCACATTAAAGAAATAATAACTCACTACTAAACCCCCAGCAATGCTGATTTTACACTTTTGGGACTTTTTTTTTTAGCACAACAGACTTGTCTTTATTACAGAGTATGATGGATACAGTAATGAGTCCAGAGTATACAAGAGGGTCACCAGTCAAAATATTTATTGCTTTGGTGGAGGCTCCCAAGCCCATTTTAGTTGATTTTTCATCAAGTTATTTATTTTTCACAGTTCTTGCTGATTTAAAATTCAGTGGTTCAGATTATGATTGATGTGAATATATAATGTTTATTCACAATCAAATTAAAAAAAATAAAACTTAAGTGCCCACTGAACATCATAAAAACATTTGGTTTGTTTTTCTTCATGAATTGGACCTCACAGGCTCATTAGTTTAACAGTTATTAAGTATAACTTTTCATGAATTGCCTCCATTTTTACATCTCGGTACAGAAGAAAACTGATTCCTATCCTGTACAAAGGCAAGGATTAACTCAATACTTCAAACAAAGACAGGTACAACTTTAGAATAAAAACCATCAGGATCACTTTCACATTGGAGTGAAACTTGAGATAGTATTCTGTACTGCTATGTGCACCATAAAATGTACAAAATATCAACATGTTGGCTAGTGACCTCTTAACTTATTCACAAGCACTTTGAAGCATGTTTATTTATTTACAACATACACTGTACTCTGAAACAATAAAACGTTTATAAATAAATATTGCAATCTGAACAATCTTACAATTCTCCTTTTTTTGTCAGATTCTTCACAACTGATCACCTGAGCTTTACGAAGGTGAGGCAACCTCTGCCTGCTCCGTCTTCCCATCTCCCTCACTTATCCTTTTATGTGCTATCATTCACCAGCAGACTGTCCATTACTTCAGGCCATTGTCCTTGGTGTTTCTTTCCTTCCTCACCCTCTCAAATGTCAAATTTGAATAAATAGAAACAGTGTCTAAAACAAAAGAATCATATATACTTAAAATATCAGTGGATCCCTCAAATTCAAAGCTACAATTTAAAATGTTTTTAACAATGAATCAAAAAAAGAAAAACATAAAAACATATCTATCAAAAAGTATAAACAGAAGGAAAAATATTTCTATGGTAATATGGAAAGGATTATTTCCTACATATATATTTCAAGCCATTTCTAAGCCACTGTCAGTCATTTTCAGGGATACTGTAATGTCATTCCGTACTTTCTACCTGGCTTAATGTCCTTATTGTAAGTCTTAAATATTTTTGCCAGGTTTTGCAAAGTCCAAGCCATTTACTATTTGCTGCTCATCCCCTTTGGTTTGCAGGATGCATTCTGACCATATTCCATTGTTTGCTCTGGTTCTCGCAGCTGTTTAATCATAGAAGAGGAGAGACAAGGGGATGTTGCCATTTTTTTGATGAAGAAAGCTCAGTCATTGGCTGTAGGGTTCACCAAATATGGCCCGCTGAAAAAATTACCTGTGTCCTTTCTTATTTTCTATTGTGCAAGAATAAAACCTATATGTTGGATCCAAGGATGAAACAGTCTTTCTCATGACTTCTTCTTAAACTCTCAAAAGCATTTTATGGAAAAGTGTGATTGCCTGAAGAAAAACATAGAATTATCACATCTGTTGTTTAATTTTTGAAACACATTTATATTTTATACAACTCGCATTGTATAAATCAGTTATTTTGAGTGTCCCTAAATTATTGGTTTACTTTCCCCGTCAGGAGTCCTGGCAGATAAATTCTGTATATTTTAAAACTAAATATTTTTTAACAGCCATTGTCATTAATGGTAATAAATAATATGTAAAAAAAAAAAAAAAAAAAAAAAAGGGTTTGACGTCATTACAAGCTCAAAGTTGTTTAACATCTTTGTTAAGATGTAAAGTGGCATACAAAAGTTTGTCCTTTAACATACCCTGAATTGATAATGTATGATTACAGTGCTTTACTTGTTTTCTGAAAGTAAACACACATAACCCAATAATGATCATTATTGATTTTTACAGAATGATTTCCACAATAAGTAACACAAAACAAACTCTGAATGTTACTTATTGTTTGCTACTTTTACTTTTATGTAATGTAATGACTTTATACTTTGCCTTTCTTAAGGGAAGCTATTGACAAGCTACCCACAAGCTGTGTCCAAAACCTTTAGTTCATTACACCTTTTGTGTTTAGTCATCCCACAATTTTTGCTTCACCTGACCCTCTATTAATCCACTGCAAAGGCATCACAGGTGAATTTTACTCATTGTCCATCTTTTATCCAACACATATCCGTTGCCTGTATATTGCTCAGTATCTTTCCTAAACAGTCACAGATTGTCTTGTAGCCTCTCCATGTAGGTTCTGATTTCAGACTGACCCAGGTCCATATCCTGGCACACCCACTTTATGTCATCCTCATTCCCATTTGTGACAAGAACTGAGGAATTAACATACGGGCCACCACCACCAGAATTATCGTTGGGCAAAACAGTGGCAAAGGATGTGAATTTAACTCTTTTGCGCTTGGCAACAGCAACTGCGGCTGCAGCCGCAGCTCGGGGAGAATTATTGAGATGCTCTGTTTGCCCAGTGGCATCTTTGCCACCAGTAGTAATTGCAGAAAGGCACTGATGGGGCTCTGCAACGGACCGTGGCAGGGTCTGTCCATGGGTCATCCCCCGAAGTCCCCCTGTGCCACCACCCGCACTTTTTGTGCCCATGCCAGTGCCTAAACTCATCACCAAAGTGTTTCCAGCACCATTCAGAAGGTACTTGCTCTCCTCATATCCTCCTTCATTTCTGTCAATGATGGTTGTACATTCATCAGGTAACCCTTGGCATTGGTCTGTATGGTCAGCTAACAGGTCAGCCTCGGTACCAAGCCACACCCAGTCATGGGCATGGTTCATGTTACCACCTGCTTCTAGTACGGGCACCTGCTTGTGACGATACCTAAAGAACAAAAGACAGATGACAGATGAGCATCAATTACGGCGAATAACGAAACAAAAACATAATTCCTAAATATTCTAATGATATTTCATAATCAATCTGGGAATTATTCTGTGATAGGACTTTGTTCTTTCAGGTTTTTGAAAAGAGTTGTGTCAAAACACATTAGAAACACTGACATGTTACAGACAAATGTATGAAATGTTAACTGGGCCCTCTGTCTATGCAAGAGGGCCTGTGAAATTGGATTCTCTCATGGTGACTTGTGATGACGAATGGTGATCTGTGAACTTCCTCACCCTCTGTTTTTGGAAACAATGTAGTCAAACTTGAAGGTGCAGAAGGAGATCTTTTCTAACGCATTTGTTACCATGTGGCTTGAATTATGTAAAGATTCTAAATAAGTGGAGTTTATGATTTTCAATGATGTAGAAAGTGGTGGACATTTAAAAAAGAAATAAATAAATAAATAAGATGACTTTAATACTGGACCTCTGCATACTAATTTGAGGAGCAAACATCCTTCAAAGTCTTTAGATTTAGCCTGGAGCCAACAGGGCTGTAGCAAAGGTTATAATTTTACATGTTTTATAGCTTCCTGCAACACCTCCAATAACAATGTATGTCAACAGAAGAAATCGCTGACAACAGGGGTCTTCAACATTTTCCAATGAGCCCTGGATTCTGATTCCTCGTAGATGGGACAGGTGTCGTAGATGAAATGGTGCCCAGCTTGAAAGAGCTCCTGTGTGTCTCTCAGTGTGTGCATTGATGACTGAAAGACATGTTCTGCCTCCATTTATCTGTTTACTAGAGTGTGTTGACATTTGTTACTTAAGTAGAAGTATAGATACTGTAGTTTAAAAACACTCTGGTAAAAGTTGAAGTATCAACTTGAACTCTTTACTCAAATAAATGTGAAAAAGTATGTGCTCCAAAAATTACTTTAAGTATAAAAGTATAAAGTAACCTTTAAAAAAAAAAAAAAAAAACAGATGCCACTATATGAATTGAAAGCTCAATTTTCCAACTATTGTTTGAGATAGGGCCAAGGATGATGGAGGTGCTGTTGGTCTCTGTCTCCCGATACACTCTCGTCTGTGTCAGACCTTTCAGACATTTCAACATCTTTTTCTAAATTCGACATTGCAGCATTGCATAGACAATTCCCGTTTGCAGTTAGAAGAAAACATGCTTGCCTCTGATGATTTCCTTTGGCGTCAGCACAAATCTGACGAATAGCTAACCAATGAGTGTTTGCGTATATAACTCACCCAATTATACTAGTTTTCACTAGATGTGGATGGCGCCAATGATCTGCATTAGATGGCGCACATGACGTGAAATACATATTTATAAACATTAAACCAAAGCCAATAGTAACGAGTAACATTTGTTTTAAAAATGTAAGGAATAGAAAGTACAGATACTTGTGTGAAAATGTAATCAGTAGAAGTAAGAAGTAGGAAGAAAAATAAGTAATGGAGTAAAGTATAGATACCTAAAAAGTCTACTTCAGTACAGTAACAAAGTATTTGTACTTCGTTACTTGACACCTCTGCATTAGCAGTCCACGATACTACAGCTCTCAAGGCGGAAATTACGCTAACAAAAAGGGCAGCGCCCATAATATTCAGGATCTTATGTGCCTGGATCGCGTTCTCTGTACAAATTTCAATGAGAATCTTGGTCTCTGCATCTTCCCAGGTCACACCACACTCTTGATGCCATTTATTGCCAATAGGCTGAGAAGAAGTTTGTGTTGTGAACAGGGGAAAAGATTTGTTAATTGCAAAGCTGGACATGCCGGAAACCCCCGAAATGAGTCAGCTGACTGTAAACTGGAGATGTGTGGTCTGCTCATGCGCTCTTTGTTATCAGTGAACAGAGCCACAGGTGAACCATGCCGAGCCCTACTGTTGAACTAGTACTAGATTTAGCGCAATTCTGCTGTGTTTGGCACGGTTCACTACAAACAAACACCAGATGTGCTGGAGTTAATACTTAAAACAGTCAGAGTTTAAACACACAATCTACTGTTTAAAAGTCACTCTTCTCTTAGAATTTGATTGATTTTCCATTTTTTCTCCACTATCCTGACTTGTTTCCTAAAATAACGATGGCACAAAACCATGTCAAAGGAATCAAATTTCAGCAAAAAATCTAAATTGAGTACCCAAACATCTTGTGTTAATGTAAACCCTTTAAAATAACCAGCATAAAACCTTGGCATGTTCAATTTTTTGGGGAAACTTGAATTACTTTTCATTTTAAGTTTAGCTTAAACTTTTACAATGTATTACCTGAATGCGAAGCTGACACAGTTGATGAGGAAGACCAATATTGCCAGACAGAATACTCCCAGAAGAGCATACATCCCAATCTCGAGGTCTGACAGGCCTCTCGTAGTCTGTGTCAGCTCCCCGTTCCCAGTTCCTGGAACCTCGACCTGTACAGGGTTCTTGCTATAGCCATTTGCTTGACTTGAACCTCCCTGGCCGCTGTTGCCACCACTGGCAGCTCTGCCACCTAAAGCACGTTGTGTAACTGTGCTCTTTGTCGTTGTGCTAACCTGATGAAATAAAAAGAAAAAAAGCTGTTATGAAATGTAAAATCCAATCGAAATGGGGAAATGCATAATTCCAGTGTAAGTTTCAACTATTGGTGGAAATTTATAATTGCAACCTTTAGAAGACTTTTTGACAGAATTGAAAAAAACAGAATAAGAAGAATGATTTCAGAGAAAAATCCAAAATAATTCACCCACCTTCCTCATAGCTCCTTCCTCTCGGTCCCCAGCCACACTCTTGGAATTCCATTCCCCTCCATTATTGGTTCTTTGCTCACTGGTGCTGTTTTCCAAACCTCCACCATCCTCTGGTCCACCTCTCTCATCGCTGTTAGCTCCAAATTTGACTACCACATTACCAACTCCAGATGCCAGCACACTCTTCCTCTTAGACTTCTGGCAAGTCTCAGAAATGACCATCTCCACACGAAACAGTGGGCCTTGTCCATCACCCTCAGCTACTATAATTGGCCAGTGCTGCTCCTATTTGACAGTCCAGTAACAGGAAGATGAGAAGAGATGTTCTTGTTATGTTTGGTGAAAATGCAATGAAGGTGTTTTTTTTATTTTTGAAAGGACCTTATTTTACCTGATTGGTCACAGATATGACGTTCTCATCCAGTGAGATAGCTGAGAGGAGGAAGTCTTTGGGATCATAGATATCCAGGGGTGTCACTGAACCATCACTGTAATGAATCCATGCACTTACTACAGCTTCCTGGACGTGAGGAAAACAAAAAATAAAAAAGTTTGATCAAGGCATCTTAATATATACAATTAACCCTGCAGTGCTTTAACCTAAAATACCAGTTGTAGCTATATTTTGTGTTTTATTAAAGTGAGTGAGTGCTTGTTGCTATGATGTGTCTTTACTCAGCAGCTTTGCCAACCAATCAGCGCACAGCTCATCTAAATATTCATGAGCATACCACAAAAGGAAGAAAACCTGTCGTTTCATTCTAGGGCTTTTAACCAGGCTTGCATTTGGCGCTCATCAAACAACAAATATGCCATTTTCAGCACAACCAATGTTAGACACCCTATTTAGAGACCTTAAGGACCCTCACCAAATAACCTATAGAATCATTCTATGACCCCTTTAAATAAGCACTGCTAATTTGTATGAGAAAGAGTAATTTCTGTTTTATTTCTATATTTTACACATCCACATATTGTGCAGTTGGTAGTATCTGTTTTTAAGAAAACCTGTTATGAGCATATTAAAGTCATCATATATTGAATTAGATAATTCGACCTGAAATACTGTGGTTACTTTACCATCAGAAGAGACTTTAGGAAAATAAAATGCACAGATGAGTTTAGAGGGCATACTAAGAAATAGTTCTCAATAAAAGAAAGGTTTGCATAGTGAAGGCTTTAAAACTTAGTTTAAAAAAGCCTATAGTCATGCATTTTGTGTTGTATTGTAATTATTTTAAAATGTAAATTGGAAACTAATTCCAACAAAACACGTTCAAATTTTAACCTAGAGTTGCCTGTGTCTGAAATAATGCAATTTGGTAAACATGGTGACAATCACAGCAAGGTGTTGCTTAACCACAACCTCAAAACAGAATGATCGATCTTCCTTTTTTAGGTTTCAGTTAAAGTTTATCCATCATCCTGAATTTTAGGCTACCCTGTAATTTGAAAGTCTGAACTTCATGGTATTTTGCTTTATTCCTTTTTTTTAATTAATTTCCTACTTTCATAAGTGATTAAGCAGTTAATTTAAAGACAGAATTAGCTGATTACTCTAAAACACTGTGTTTAATGAACTATTGCCTAACTATATGAAGAATAACAAATTAAACAGTGCTTATTGATCTTTTAGGAGTTTGTGGTAAATGCTAACTTTACTCAATTAATTTTACATTCAAGACCCCCTAGCTCCGTTTGAATATCTGTTAATGCCTTTCAGTCTCTCGAACAGTTTTTCAGTCCCTTTGAAATGTTAGATATTTTTTAAAATCAGTTTGAATTCGTAGACCTTGCAGACATTCTGAACAGAAATATCCATGTGCATCAAGTTCTTCAATGTCTTCTAGAGAACAAACTCTTTGTCGAAGCTGAGAATTGTGATCTTCATGCCATATTAATCATCTTCTTGATACGCATTGTCAAGAGCAGACAGGTGAAGCCAGATGCAGAGAAGGTTCAAGCCATACTCAATTGGTCTACCCCCTCAACCAGAATGCAGTTTTCTGTGTCCAGATTCGTATGCTTCTGCATGTTGGTCAAAAAACTGCAAACTAACATGATATTTACCTAAATAATCATCTATTCACTTAAATCAATTATCTTCTCTAATCCAATTAATAACTTGAGCTAGTCAGTAAACAGTAGATATTACTGTGTAGCTGCAAGTACCTAATTCTTTCCTGACATGTATAGATTCTCTAAACTGTAAAAATTGTTTTTATAAAATTATGTTGTTTATTCTGCCCAAATTTGTAATTTTGGAATCATGTTTTTTATTTGTAATATTTTTATTTCATTTCAATACCTTAACATACCAGACTTTGCACACATTGTTGTCCGATTACATTATTTCAAACACTAAATTAGATGTTATAAGCCAACAATTGCTCAGTACTTAAGTAGCGTTATTACTAAGTACTTGTATTACTAGTTTTACTTGGATAAAAAAAAAAAAAGGTGCAGAAGTGCTACTGTTACTTTAGTAAAATGTTGGGGTACACCACCCACCTCTTCCTGTAACCCAATCTTAAATAATGTGGTAATATGTCACAGCAAAAATAAGATGAATTTATGAATACAGTGTGCCTCATCATCTATATGGAAACGTCTGTTTATTGTTAGCGAAATGCAACAAAAAGATGCCAATTAAAAGTGAAATTATAATTTCAAACATAGTGTCTCCAGGTGAGTGTTGGTACATTTGTGAATGCCCTTTATATCTATCTATATAAGTAAAGCAATCCTTACCTGTTTAGGTGTGTGAAGCAGGTCTGTAGCTGTAGTTGTTAGCTGTATAGCTTGGTAATTTCCAGGACTTGCAGTCATGCTGAGAGACAACGATGCAACTAGCTGGACTCCTAGGTCTGTTATTGTTACCTACAGAAACACATATCTAATTCAATACATATTTTACCATAATTAAAAAAAATGCTTATAAAAATGTTGGATTACCACTTTTTTTTAACATTGAATAAACAAAAACAAAACAAAATAAAACTTCTGCAGATTATACCTTGGACCATTGGTGTTATGTAGTCAGATAACATAAACAAAAAATTTTATTAATTTCAATTTCTTAGTACATTTAAGCATCTTTGGAAGGATAATTATTTAATATTCAACTCTGTGGGCAGAAAAAAAAGATACTAAGCTAAAAAAGTTATGTTAGTTAAAATAATTTGCTCATTATATCATAAACAGTGTTTTATAGCAATTGTTGTAAAAATACACAAACCAATAAATTTGTGAACATATGGTTGGTGCCTATATACCGTACAGTGGTTCCTGGGTAAAACCTTGGACCAGTCTGTCTCAGATCCAGCATCAAAGTCATGAAAAAAAGGTTTAACCAAATCAAATTACTAAACTAGTCTAAATGGTGCTGTACCTTGTCATCTAGTACTGTCACAGTCTTCTCTGCCAGGATGGAATCGGACAGAGGGGACAATACCTGTAATAAATTGTAAGATAAGCACTATTTATTTTTTTTGCAAACAAAAAACAAACAATTTGAAAGTAATAGAATAAATTTAATATAGATGTTAATTGAAATCCATTACACAGCATGATGGGTTTAAATTATGGTTTAAATTTTAGAACATAATGCATTTTTATGTAAAAATGTATTGCTTTTCCAGACTCAGAATCCTAGAATTTTAAGAACATTATGTTAATCACAAAACAGGTTTAATTGGAATACAACCGGACTCCAGGATAGGTGTTTAAATGTAGTCAAAAAAACTATAAGGAAGGTCAAATTTTGAAAACAAGGTGTGTATACAGCATATAAAAGAAAGTCCCATGGTTTTTATTCTATAATTATTTAGACAACAGAATAGTTAAATTTAATATTTTTCTAAACTCTGTAGGGTAGCTGGTTGTAAAACCTGCTTAATACTGCGATAGTGACATAAAAATAGATCCTAAGATAAGCTTCCCAAGGTTTTTTTGTCCGCAATAACCTAGTCTTAGATTAACAGGATTATCTTATCGCTGATTAATTTTCTGCATATGGATTCAAATTTGTGTTAAGAGCAATTGCTTTCAGTATATATAGCAAAAAGAGCATATGGTGAGTAATTAAATCTTGCAAACACTACCTGAAACACATAGACCCCTCAGCTGTGCTGCTGTGGGTTAGTATTCAAGTCAACTGGGCCAAAAGCAAAGCATAAAAAATGTTAAAGGCAAAGTGAGTTGATGAAAGGAGAGTAAAAGCAAGTGGTGAGCAAGAGAGGGTAACACAGAGCAGGTGTCAGAGCAGGAGAGACAATGACAAATAGGGGTGGACAGAATATAAGATAGGGCAAAGGGACGGAGCATGAAAGAGATTGGGATACAGGAGGAGAGGCAATGCAGAGGAATGACAGTGACACAGATTAGCAGCCTCGCGGTAGAGTGAACTCCTCTGCCTGGCGACATGGACAGGCAGATCTGATTGGTGTACAAAGAAAATCTCTCAGTGAACGTGCTGGAGTGTCAAATTCAATCTCACCCTCTGAGAGGTAAGATTTTTTTTTTATGATTGACATGTATGGGATTGCTCTTCAAGACTGAGAATGAGCATCTAAGAGGGAGAAGCTGTGGGAGACAGACTAAAGAAAGAAAGATGGGCAATAGAGGAAGAATTAGGGCTCAGGGAGTCTAAGCTGGAGAGGTAAAATTGAAATGTCAAACTATCAAATGGTGGCTGTCAACTCCAGCATGTAGAAAGAGGGAGTGTGGGGTAAATTCCCTTTTCTTGGCCCCAAAACGGCACACAGCTGTCTATGATTGCTCAGCTGCAGTTGTATCTACGTGTCCCAAGTTGGTCTGATGCAAAACATACACTCAGCTGTTATATTGACGGTCTCTTGTGTTTGCCCTATACTCAGTGCCAAATTAGTTGACAAACACACACACTGACCACTTATTTTCTGTAAGATCTGTCATACTTGTTTATGCATTTAAATACACATTTTTTAGAGTAGCTTTATAATATCCTGCCCTACGAACAAATTGGGATCTGTTCAGGATGTACCCCACTTTTTGACCCAAGACAAGCGCCGGCCCCCAGAGAACGGGACAGAGAAGCTGCAGAAGATGGATGGATGAAGATTTATAATATACACTGCCTAGGAGAAGAATTTTTAAACCTTTTCTCATTTTTATATTGTACATTTGACCAAGACAAATAAGTGTATATAGATGGAATTGAAGAACCTGGACCCGTTCGTCCAGTTAAATTTGCATGTTTTCTAAGCCAAAACAAGGCTTTCTTTTTGGTACACTCTATAAAGCCTCAAACTCAACACTACTTCTGACATTTTAAATTGAAAAAGCTTCCTGGATGGGAAGTGAAACATCTTCAAACTTGGAAACAAAGCCATAGATTTTTGTTTTGGAATGACTATGACCTGGATGACTGAGAATCTTCACTAGTCTATTCTGGTTAGTGTTGAGCTGTTTTGCGAAGAAGAGTTGTGTACGATTTTCCTCACAAAATGTGCAAAGCTGGTAGGGACATAACTGAAAAGACCTAGCTCTAAACACTACAAAGTGTTTTTTTTTCTTTTTAACTAACATGGGTTTTTTTTTCTTCTTCTATGCAAAAACTACTTTTTTTTTTTTTTTCCAGATACAACCTCAATCTATAATAATTTGAAATTATAACATCACAAAATGTGAAAAAAAAGTTCATAGGCTCTGAAAAATCTTATGTGGAATACTAAATTGTGCATTCATTCACTCACTGTGACTTGATGGACCATCAAACATTACAATGGACTCGTGGATTTGTGGTCCTTACTGTATAATCTCAAGTATGTTTAAATGCAGCAGAGCCTAAATGGCCCATCTCTGTATGTGGATAACTGCAAGATATCCCATCAGGATGTTAAAGCAACATGAGCAATATTTGATTGGGGCTAATTGTAAAGCAGGCAACAAGGAGAAAGGGTTGTATAAGAAAGAAATAGTATAGTGTGTTAAAATGATATCACTTTGCACTGTTGGGGAAAGTCCCAGATTCAGGCTGCTATGTGAACGTACCCTAATTCTTTTTGGACTTGGTGAAAATTTACTTTTTTTTTTCGTTAATGGATTTACTCAGTGTACAATGTACAAATACAGCATTACAAAAAGCATTAATTAAAGCAGATTGTCAACGAAAAAAAAGGAGAGCAAGAGAGAAAACAACGTATTGCGTTTAGAAAAATTAGTGTAATCTTACTCACTTGTATAGTGGTGATACCTAGATCCCGTCCCATTAAAATATGCCCATCTACAAGCCTGGCAATGCGAGGATCTTCTACCTGTTTGAGCAAGAAAGAATGAAAACTAGGAACACTATGGTACAAGGGACATAAAAGAACGCAGCCTAGAAGTAACCTTTCCTTCAAAGTATAGGCTTTTAACCTTCCTTTTTGATTAAGCTCACTATACACTAAAGCTATAGAGGTGAAGACTTTATAGGGTTGTTCCAAGATGTTTCTGTAGTTATGCTGCTGTATTATTTGGCCGCTGCATCAGGACAAAATGACCATTTTCTTCATTCTGCTACAACTTTCTACTACTGTCAAACCTGTCCTTATTAGCTGTTATTCAGGCTTTTAAATGCCCTCTATTTCTCTTTTCATGGAAGCTGCAGTACACCTGGCTTAGAATTCTGTTTAGCTTTGACATTGTCCTGAAGGGTTCATCACCTGAGTTACAGGTTCCAACAACTTATTGTTCTCCCTCTAGAGTGGTTTCAGTTGGTAACCCTCTCTCTATCTTAGAAAAGTTACAGCATACAGCAGACTGAGCTTTTACCGTAATTACTATACAGTATGTGCTTTCTTTAGTCCCATGGCCTTAAAAAAAGAGTCTCAGGGTGTCTATGCTCAGTTGTTGTTTTTTTCTCTCAAATGAAAGGGCTGAAGGAGCTATAAAAGCCATTTACTTTTCAAATTTCTTTAGCACGTAAAACACCCATAGATCAGCACTTCTGTGTAATTTTGTTAAACGCTGTCTTTTTAAACTCCCTGTCGGGCGTAATAGAATGTCTCTGAAACTCAGTCAGGTTCAGCAGGAAGTTGCTTCCTGGAAAAAGGTATTTTTCTTTTCCACTGTTGCTACATGCATGCTCGACATCAGAGATTGCCACAAAGTCAATAACTCACCCCAATGGTCTGTTCACGGTCGCTTTATACTCAATCACAAGAACTACATCGGCCGAAGGCAGTAATCCGAAACAAACTGTTGGACTTTTTGAAGCAAATGGTTTGACTTCTTTTAGTTGATCACTTAAAGAATTTGGGTGGACTGTTTAATTAGACTCTTTAATTAGACATTTTGGAATGAATGTATTTGACCAAGAATCTGTACGATTGCACTAAATGTATTTTCTCAATGTAAAGTGCCTGTAAAACTACATTCTATAAATAAATTGATTGAAATGTAATTTAATTGACTTGAGCCAGAAATGTATTCATATCCCTGCAAGATTCATATTCAAGCTAAGCCATATGTTGTTATTTTCTCCGATTAGTAGTAATTTAAAAAAGCTGGAGAAGCCGAGACCCAGCCTTAACTCTGATGAGGGTAATGGTGAAAAAAAGCCTTTTAACCTTAAATTCTTGGAACATATTCAAAAACATGATTTGTCAAAGTGTAAGCTTGCAAAAACGTTGTCAGGTATTCTCAAAAATGTTTTAAAACTACCTATTTCCACTGATTATCGAGAAAGGTATTAACATTCACAACACACACATTCAAACCTACATATATATATATATATATATATATATATATATATATATATATATATATATATATATGTGGAAGATGTATATATGGAAGATATGTGGGTTTTCTACAGTTACCTTCAACTGGTCCAATACCAAAGGAGTGATATCAGCTTGCCAGTCGGTACCCAACATGTAGACCATCTCCCCTCCAGGTTCAGAGACTTCAGCAACAAAATGAGTGAGGACTCGCACCACAGCGTACTGGTACTGAAGGGATAAAGGAGGAGGGTGTGTGAGCATAGGGTGGGAGCATCTTTTTAAGTGCAAATAATAACCTATTCAATGAACTGATATTTTAAGGAGCTGTAATCTGTTATGAAAACTACAGTATGATACATCTATCATAGGGCATAAACAACCACTATAAGGCATATCATATTTTACGTTTCACCTAAATCTCTGCATAAATGAGTTAATGGAATTGATTAAAGGCAAATAACCAAAAAAAAAAAAAAACAACAACCTATTAACTAAATTTAAAACCTCAAATTCAAATCATATTCCGTCCAAAAAAAGAACAGAACAATAAAACTTCAATCAATTGATACCTGTAGGGTGCAGCCTTTACCCTTTTTGTCATCATCTTCATCATCCTCACTGTCTCTGGTGGGTCTGTGAGAAGAGAAAAAACAAAAATAAGATTGAAAATTGAAAAGACTCAGCCCCAACTAATCCATAGCATGAACTTGTCTTGTAAGTAAATTTGTAAACAAAGACTAACTCAGTTTCGAATCCATATTTACATTTACAGATTGTACTCTTCAAGTAAAGTATATATTTGATATTATTACAGATATATTTGATGTGTTCTTACATAATGTTATTGAAAATGGGATACTTTTTATTTGCTCTTCTCCTGGTGAATGAAATTAAAAACTGGCTACATTTTTTAAAGTAACGTAAGTTAAAAGCTGAGTTCTTTTGTCAAACTATGTGCACACACAAAAACAGAAACAGAGTCAATCATAACACCTGTACGATTATAGTTATTTGAATAACATTTATATATATGAATAATTCTTTGTGTATCACCCAAAAAAGCATATTTTGAAAACCTATCACAGTTTACAGTAACCAAAGCAAAATCGGTAGCAAATCCTCCTCTAAGAGTGCTCAGGATATTCTATCAGTGGTTGGAAATTTGTAGCCCTCCCTCAAGGTTCCCATATAGATTTTCCTTTCTCAAATAGCGACAAATAAGTACACAATCTTTTGTCTCTGCCTCCCTATGTGAAATATCTAGTCAGCACATAGAGCTACTTCTGATTCTCATGACTGTCCCTGCTCCACTGTTGCTCTGGTAATATTTCATAAATTCTTATTCCATTTCCCAGGGCCCATGTCACGTGTTTGCAAGTGTGTCCCTAATAGTTCTTGTTTTTTACTCAGGTAGATGGTGGTTCTTAGATGGTGGTTAGGGGATATAGAGATGTTTGGGTGTATTGTGGGGGGACTGGCTGGGTTGTGGGGGGGTGAAACAGCTTGTACATATTGGCTGGTGGCCACCTGAGCAGAAATTGGCAAAATTGAAAAATAGGCCCAGCAGAGCAGAGTGGAATGATGGCAAGATGGGAATAAAACAAAACATATCAGTTATGGAGCACATACGTAGATACAAATGTGTATATACAAGTGTAAAAGAAAACATAAACTGCACATAGAAAAAAGAATAACCATGAAGAAGTGTGGATCTAAATAGTGACACAAGAGAGGAAAAAGTGACACGCACATGCATGCCCACACACCCACTCAAATTATGAAATAAATAAATGATAAAAAGATGCAAATTAAAGGATACAGTAAGATGATGGGACAAAGCCCATACAATCTTTTAAAGGTAGAGACCATTTTTTTATGCTGGGCACTCCCAAAAAAATGACGTTCTTGACTAACTAATTTTATAACTTAGTTAAAAAAATGACTTTCTTGACTAACTAATTTTATAACTTAGTTTAAAAAAATTACTTTCTTGACTAACTAATTTTATAACTTACCTAGCAGGATGCTTACCCCTCATGTATGTCAATTACAATCATTGTCTTCTGCATTTTTCATTGCAAATGATGCAACGGGGCAAGCAAAACTTAATATATTTAGGATCTGTTCAAGCATCCAGACTGCCGCCCTCTTATTTTGAAAAATCTTCTGGAACTTCTTTGCTCTTTCTGTGTCTAACTTCTTTTTTAAACATCTGTATTACTGTATGTGTATAATTGATTGAAAAGATAAACATGTCATTTTCATCCATGGGTCAAACTCCATATAACCTTTTAAGAAATATGACATAATTTGGACTTTGATTGGATAGTTTACATAGTTTGGATAGTTACATACAGATACATTATTTACCAATGTCTGTCTGGTCTTTATTTACCACTGTCTGACTGATTTTGGTAAAAAGTCATCTTTAATGACGATACATTTTGAAATGTTTTTTTTTTTACCTCACATTGTGGTTAAAAGCATTTTAATATCCAAGCACCCACAGTGCTTAATAATAGCAATTTTTGTACACATCTGTGTGGGATCCTTACCAATTCTTTAATTTTTTTTTTTAATACAGCTCTCTCTCTCTCTCTCTCTCTGGCAGTTTTAGTTTTGATAGAATAATGGAGAGTTAGAAAATACTAATGTTTAGCTTATCAAATATAAAGACAAAAAAATAAATAAATAATTAAAGACGTTCCAGATGTATTAGACAATTTTCCCGGAATGTAGGTTAGAAACCAGGTCACTTTTTGAATTGATAGACAAACCTACCTGCTTTTCTACTTTAAGGTAAAAGCTGCGGAGCTACAGTAAATGGTTAAATCTAAAATCATTTGATACATAAACACTGGAAGTGCCGAAGTGCAGAAACAAGAAACACGTAAGGATCAAGAACGTACAATGTGTTAGGTGAGCATGTGACAAAGATTGTTATGCTGGACAACCAATAGTTTATTATAAAAGTACATTACCCACTATATCTTTAACATTTAATAAAATATTTCATTTTGTATCAATTTCAACATCATAATAAGCAGTCTTTGCCAAGTAATGTGATACGTATATGTAAAATACTATTTCCCCAATAATTGCCTTGCTGATCAGCCCTGAACTGAAGCCTAATCTTGAGTGATATTTTGGATTTTAGCAGCTGTAGAAGAAAGCTGCACATCTGATTGCTCTGTTTATATCTATAAATTTATTGTTATTATGTTGTTTGCGCTTAGACCCACTGTTGAGACTAAGAAATGCATTAATATCAGTATAAGTAAGGCTGTTAACTCATTAATCAATCAACTTCTCAGCAATATCTAAATGCTTTAACTTACACTTAAAAAAAACACCCACATTCATCCTGTCTTTCAATCACTTAACAATCTTATCACTATTGGAATCTAATATTTTTGTTGCCCCTTTTCAAACTGGATCTTAGACTTTACTTCATTATTTTCACAATTTGCCTGGAAGTTGCTGACTTAATTCCTTGTTTACCCCCTGTGCACATCCACAATAATCACATTTCTGGTCATGCAGCATCATTGTTAAAAAAACATACACAAAAGGCTTTATTTACAGTAATAACAAATTGAGCAAAAGCAAAGCATAAAACACATAAATATCATATATTACACCAGTAGGAGTTTTAAATCCTTCAGAAAAACACTGTATACAAAAAAAGTGAGTTAATGGTGTGTAAATAAATAAAAAAGTAATGACCTGCTTAAGCCGGGCATACGCTGTACAATTTTTTTGCCCTTTTCGGGCTGATTTTCCAGTAGTGCATGAATTTTCCGATCGGGCCGAATTTCGGTCTGATTGTGCGTCATGCATAGTGTAGTGTACAGGGGGTAACGAAGGGTGATCAACCTTTCACGACTGCCTCCCGATTAGGAATGAGGTCGGGAGAAAATCAAACGTGTTTGAAATTCAGTCAGCCGTCGTTGGGAAATCGCTCAGTGCGCATACGCAAACAAGGATTCTTCTTCTTCCTCTCAGACTAAAACACAGAAGCGTGGCGGGGTGCGGGTGAAGTCGAGTTCTTTCTGTAAAATTGACAGACCCTAGTTGCCATGTTTGCTCAGCCATGTCTTTGTCCAAATAGGTTGTCGCCTTTTCTTCTTGGGGCTTTCAGCACACAAAATTGCACAAATTGCCAAGGCAGTGCATTTCTCTCTGGTGAGCTTCATATCCCCGTTCTACTCGTTTGGCTTCTGGATAGACGAGTCAGAGTAGCTCTATCTCATTGCGGAGCTGAGTCTGACGTGGTTTTTACACATACAGTGTGAGCAGGTAGATCGCGTCTACCTGAGCTGTGAACTTTAAACCCTGCGGTTACGTCGTACAGTGTGAGCTGTAGCTGCGTGCAACGATTGAAAAAAATCGTACAGTGTACGTCAGGCTTTAAGTAGCAAGTGTTTAGAAGAAGGACAAAAAAAAAAAAAAAACGGCTAAAATGTTAAACTACTTTTTCAAATATATGCTATTGATGAAATGTCTTCCTTATCTGTCGTACGGTACAATGAATGGCAATGTATATGAAAGATGCAGAGGGAATGCAAGCAGAGAAATCGCTTTTGGAGCCTGAATCAGAGTTTTTATTTTTTGAAAAGCACAGATCAAAATGCTTTCATCCTCCACAGTGGGATCTCCACCCCCTCCCATCACTCACTCCCTGAGGTCAGACAGGTAAATTACCTCTTGTTGGTGGTGATCGGCACCCTCCAGCCTTTGACCTGGCTCAGCTCGGTATCTGACACATCTATCTGCAGAGGTAGCTTTGGAACCCACACAGTGAGCAGCAGCTGAGCAGACAGGTGGAGGTAGGTAAAGTTGACTGCCAAGGACTGTCTACCTCGCATTTCCTTGCCGTTCACCAAAACCTGGTCACACCTTGAAGAAACCTTAAGCAGAGAGCAGAACAGGAGAAATGAGTTTGCCTGATGTGTGAAGCAGAATGTGTTTGAGGTCTTACAATATCTAACTGATTTAATTTAGTGAATCCAGCTGTAGAAATAGTGGCAAGACATTCACTTAATGCCTTAACGTATCTTCAAATCCATCTTTGTTCTGACAGCAAGAATAGCATTCACTACTTAACGTCGTGTTTAATTCATATTTCCCCAAAGTGAACAGGAACCAGCATTTTGGAGGTTAATCTCACACTCTTTTTTTCTTTAAAACACGGCTAATTTTCTGTAATTGAACACATTGTTATGTAAGAATAATGCATAACATAAAAGAAAAAAAAGAGAAGACTTGCTTGCTTGTTTAATCTAAAATGACACAATCACTCAAACAAGCAGTGAGTGGTGTTGTAAAAGTCTAACAAGCAAGTACACAAAATGATCTCTATGGTTAGTTGGAAATTAATATTTTGCGGTAAGAAAACCCCTAAATTTACAGTAAACAAAAAAATTATATTATTTTCCATAACTGTATATATATTTTCTTTAAATAAAAAATGTAATTTTTTGTTTTGCTTACTGTCCATTATTTTAGATAGTCCTAGAAATGTTTTTTTTATATATATGTTTTTCTATTTATTTATTTTTGTAATTATGAACCAATACTGATTCTACACATCGCCAAAAATGTCAGTTTCATGCGTTATCCGAATAGAGGTTACCATTTTATTCATCAAAGCCAAATGTATTTTTTTTATATGTGGAATAGTTTTCAATTTCAACTTTTCCTTTGTGGTCGAACAATCGACCCGGCATAAAAGGAAATGTGCCCAACCTGCTCCCGCTGGCTTTGTCTATTCAATTTCTCCTATTCTTCTCTTATTCTGACATTATTTATATCTATCTTAACATCCTTTATTTTCTTCTGCTGGACCATTTCTTTTACATTTGTCTCTGTTTTACCCTCCCCCCATCTTTGCACAGTCTCCTTCTTCATCTTCCTCTCCTTCTGAAACCTGATTTACCGCTTGTTAACATCAAAGGGATGTTTGACTGCTGGTGCCCCAAACGAATTCTTCAAATCATTTTTTTTTTTTCAGGTATAATTAAGTGTGAGAAATGCAAGGTTATAGTAGTAGTGTTTGGTTTCCAGTGAAGTTTAAGGAGGACAGAAGTCATTGTCGAGGACCATGCTGTGACTGGTCGCTATGTGTGTAATTTAGAGCATTGGTTTGGCAAATCTTCTTAGTAAAATTCGTTTCAGACGAACCAGAAAAGTTTGAAAAATAGCTCAAAATTTTTTTTCTTGAAGAGGCAGGAGGTCTTTAACTTAAGTTTAGTAAGTTCAAAAGCAAGAGTGTGGAAAGAAAAGTACATGCTCTTTATTACAGAATTAATAAGGAAATAAGAACACTAATGAAATAAGACGTTTTCATCATTTTGAGATTCATGTCTGTTCTTTTTGTGTATTCTTTTCGAAATCTAAAGCAGAAAATTTAACTAGTAGAGTAATGAAGAGTAGAGTTAGCCAGAGTAGAGTAGCCAGAAGAAAGACGTTATGACCTGTGCTGAAGAAAACGGCAACCTTTATAGCAACACTTAAAAGTATCCATTTCAATTATTTATTGGACTAAAGGAATTATTAGATGGAAAAGGCACTCATCTAAGCTTTTCTTTGGATGATTAACACAGGAATAATACTAGAATAGTAAATAAGCAGATATGTACAGTATGATTTTACGACCCATCAATCCCTTTCCTCTTGTCACAAGCAAAAGTTGATGCAATGCAAAGTCCTTAGACTTGTCTCAGTCATTCTAGAAATCTTTGCAACTATCTGAGCAACATAGAAACTAACTTAAACATTAAATGAAAAAAAAAAATGTCTATAAAATATTTCAATATGTTGGATTTTCTCATTAATTTTGGTACATTTAGCACCTAATCTCCAGACCACAAAATGAATTAACTGCACCCATCCTTCACTTAACTTTTCTTCCCATCCCTAGAATCTGCCCAGAAGTCCCAAAACTCAACCACCCACTCAACCCCATTGCCTGCAATTTCCCTAGGCCAAGTCATTTGTTTACATCTGTATTCATTTCCCTTTAAGCCAAATGATTTGTCTGAATTTAGAGTTACTGTTCACCTCCTTCTGCCAATCTTTGTGTGAAATTTTCTCTGTTAGTCTGCATCAGATATACATTTTCTAAGCATAAAGCCATTCATCCATCTCCTTCACTCTCATGTTACATTTGCAAACTTTTCTTTGTGCGCTCCTTCCATCTCTTCTCCCCCAGTCTTTTGCCACTCATATCAGTGCCTCAAGCAATCCAATCCATCTAACTTTAGGAATGCTATCATCCAATTGGGGCCCACACAGTGGATAAAGGAAGGCCCAGAGGGACAAACTAACCATCTATCTGATGGTATTAAGCCCCAAGTGTTGGTCGTTTAAGAAACCCACATAGGCCAATCGCCTCTTCACATAGTTTCATATGGCTGTAATTTAGGCACATTTTATTTTCTGACCCACACGTTCACACAGGCACAATCAAGCACTAAAGTACTGTCATTAGCCGTCTGAAGCCACATATATTATTCGCTGGCAGCTGAGATAATAGCGAGTTGATGGAGAGAGTGGTTGGCAGGTGCCTGGACACGCAAACGCTCTGAAGTTAGCATCTTATCTCTGGGCCTGTCATTTTGAATTTGTAAAAGTGCGGAGTCAAACATTCTCTAATAGCCATTTACACTCTGCTTTTCTTCACAACGAAAGTGTGTAATTAAGAGATGGGTAGTGACAGCTGAGAAGTAAGCTTAATAGCGAAACACCAAAACTCAAACAATGAAGAGGGTTATGGAGGAAATATGCAGTTCTAAACATACAGAAAGAGATTAAGTAACAGATATTATGGCGACTGAGGTTTTAACAAAACTTTTGGAGAAAAAAAGAATTTAAATAATATGAATTTAACAATGAAACTGTAATCTGTTTTGGGGTCACTTTGAGAGATATTTATTTAAATTACTCTACTGCAAAGGATTGTGCTGTTATTGCCTGTGCTTGATGTAGCCTTAAGTAAGTCATCCAAATGGCAGTAAGAAGTTACTGTATGATATCATCTTTTACTTTGTACCTTTCTGACTTTGTTTTCTCTGTCTTTGTGAGAAAGGTCTTAAGAGTTTAAAATAAAAGGAAAGTGTGGACTGGATTGAAGTTTTTTTTTCCCGAAATGTTCCAAGGCCCAATGCAAATTAGAATGGTTATTTGCATAAGGATATAAGTCAAAACTGCCCCAAATATGTCCGTTTGAAGGGTCCTATTGTGGCCTAGGCTTGAGTGTGTGGGTGTGTATGTGTGCATATATGCTTATGTTAGTGTGAGAGATACTTAAGTATCTGGATGTAATAGTTGATTTTTTTTATTGCATGTTCTAAGCTGTAATGTTGAAGTAGAACTAACTTCTTTCTACAGTTAGATAACTTTATGTCCAATTATCTTATTCAGCAGTTGTGATATATTATGTGCATACAGTTAGGCATTACAACAGAATATAGAAAAAACGTACCTAAATTGTCCTACAGTTGAGATAATCGGAACAGCAGGGAAAATCTGATCATGAATATTATACTTAAATTTGATGGGTTTATATGTTTAAAAAAAGAAAAGACTATGACTTACATAATATAGAGACTGAAGCAATAATTCAAAAATTTCTGAAAATATGTTAGAATTTGGAAGTTAAAGCTGTGCTTGAAGCTGCCAAGTCTGCCAAGAATTGTCCTCATTTTTTGAAAATTCATATTATTTATTCTCAGAGATTGAAGCCATTTTATATGGCTAATACTAAAACTGATTCCCATGGTTTTTCAAACAGCATCTCTCTCTGTTTTAGGAAATTTGCAACAATGTGTGATTATATTATCTGAGCAGAGCTATTGTTTATTTAAATCAAATATCCTTTTTATTTCTCTGTATGAAATACTTGCTGAAAACAAATTAAAGACCTGATCTTCACCTGGTTTACATGTATTACATTCAATTAAATTTCTTAGAAAATGTTCAGGCATAAAGCTCATCTAGTAAAAAGGTGCAAATCAAATTGCTTTTCTAAAATACGCACAGTAAGAACAATCAACTTAGCCTGTTACCTTCATGAGTATGCAGAACATATGCTGATGCCCCAAATTAGCAAATTACTCGGGGGATGATATGCAAATATTATTCCATTCCTCACACACAAAAAAATAAAGATTTCTGAAATCTGAAAGTGATTGCAAATATTTTTTGCATTTACGTATATTTCCTCTATGGCAGAGTTCTTCAATTCTAGTCCCTGAGGGGTAATATCCTTTGCTTCAGCAACACCTGGGTTATATAATCAGTTCATTAGCAGGAATCTGAAGAACTTTACTCCATCCCAAGGACGTAATTCAGCCATTTGGCTTATATGACAGAAGCAGGACATCAGCCCTTGAGGCTTGGAACTGAAGAGGCTTGTTTTACAGGTTTTGAGGAAAGTATCATTGTGTAGTATTAGATATTTTCTTGGAATTTAAACTTAACCTTAGTCAAACCTTAATGCAGAATCCTACAGTTATAAATGGGACGCAAAGACTTAAAAAATGTAAAAATGTTGAGATGGTATTACACTAAAATTTTCCAGAGATGAAGACAACAATACAATCTTCATTTTTGGAACTTGGCCCAACCTTAAAGATGATCAAAAGAGCTACGCAATTAAAACTCTCATAATAATAAAGGAGTATTTTTTTAAACTAAGGAAAACAATCTAAGAACTTGATTAGAAAATGAATTTTGTAATGCTTTTAACTTACTGAGGGACGGCTTAAAAACTGAAAAGGTGCAAAAGACTGATTAAAACCTACTGAACTAACTGCAATATGACTGCTTGAAAAAAAAAAAGTGAAACAATATTTGAGCATCTGTTAAAACAATTGCATGTTGAAATATAAAAGTAAACCTATAAATT